GATGTAGGCACCTTCTTTCGTTTAAGGTCCCCTTGTCACGTTAAATGAAATATGGTGAATGTACCTCATATCTATAATCTACTGGTAGTCTCGAAAACCTATTTATAAACAAAAAACAAATAATGTCTACTTGATCACCAATTTAAGTGAAAATGTGGGATATGGAACTCCGTTGGTCGATCTCATTAGAAGATAACGGCGCGTTTTCATAGTTCCGCCGTCGTCTGTTATTACTGTGACGATCAGGTTGGCAATGTTTCCAAGTCGACCTTCTGTAATTGCTGGGAGGTATGCTTAAAACGGCCTCAAGCTGGCAGCAAAACAATAAAGCGAACAGGCTCGTCTTTTCCCAGCATACACATTCATAAAATAACTCAGCTAGCAAAAGATATATAAGACTTTATAGTGATGTAAATCATGTGTGTATGTGCTCGTGGATGTATGTGAGGACAGAAAATGCAAATTTTTAGCTCAGCGTTATCAAAAAAGAACATAAACTTCTGCACTAAGGTCGTCAAGATTGAATAACCTCTTATTTCTGACTCAATGCGACTCAACACTACGATTTAAGTATGCCTGACAATTGTGCGGCTGATTTTATTATCTTCTGGAACGTAAGTATAGAATGCACGACTGGAATTAGAGCCAAAGTCGAGGATATTTAGCATGCTGCCTTCTTTTGAAAGTGGCTCAATCCACCTTTATGTTCAATTAGGTCAATCAAGCATAACTTGTTTCTTCTAAACTGTAACAATCATATTGCTCCCTGATCTGTTAAATTCAATAACTCTTCTAAGTGTTAAGGTTCATCAGACGCACATAATCCGCAAATCGAGTAGACCTGAAGCACTTTAGTTCATGCCAATTCTACATCAAGTGGTTTTCCTATTCTGACCTCTGGATCCGAAAGTCTCTACAAGTATTTTTGTTTTCCGCGAACCTTTGATTAATGCGAAAAGCCCGTTTCTCTTCATAAACTCCAAACGATGCAAGCATAATTGGATTTTCAGATCCAGGTAATCTGTATGAGTATTCATTCTATTGTCAGATGTGTGAGGATGTATTCGGTTCAGGATAGCATGCAAAAATTATTTGCGCAAATTTAAGTTTCATATGCAGCAGCGAATGGAGCAAATTTGCAAGGAATAGAGTCAACTCAATAATGAGGTATCGTGATCAAACAAAAATTTCCAGCTTCTTTGTCCCCTCTGCTATGCCCATCATAAGCAAATTAAATACAGTTTGCCAATTTAATTCTTCAATTCATGAGATCCGTTAAGAAAAGCAGGATAAAGTATATCCACTGGCCTTGCATTCGATCTACCCTCCAAATATGTTGAACCAGCATCATATGTTACGTTTAAAATAAACCTTTCCACAAGCTTTAATCACAACTTTTGAGGCGCTATTTCTTTTCTCAAAACACAGACCAAATGTAATAAAGTTTCAGTCTCTACTTCTAGGTTTTGGAAATATTGCCCATCATGGCCTCAGCCTTAACCTACCATGAGACATCATAGACACCGACTCCAGACCCAAAAGTGACACTAATAAGAAGCTTATTTTGGTAATTGTTGATCTTACTTCCATTTCGAGTGTAAGGGTGAAGAGATTCGAAGGTCGGTTCCACCAGAAGATGACGGCGGATTTCTCTTGACCAGCTGTCGATTG